CAGTCCAGTCCAGTCCAGTCCCGTCCCTTTATCTGCTTATATCTTATAGACAAAAGCTTGCCAAACTAAAACTATACTACAGCAAGTAGTGGATATACCCTGGGAGATTCTAGGGAGTGGCTAACCTGAATCTCTTCCTGTTCTCATGCTCCCCCTGCGGACTCTGCTGCCTCTTGCCTCCTCCCCCCTCCTGGAATGCACCCCCTCCTTCCTGATAGCCTTGATCTCCCACATCACTCTCCTCCTCGTAGATACATTCCATCACAGAACAGCCAAGAGGGAGTGCGTGTTTAAAAGGAAAAAACAGCACTTCGTGGCCCCTTTATAATGAACTCGGAAGAGTTATACCTGTCCACTAAGACCAAGTCGTCTCTCAGGAGGGCACATTTGGTTTTAGGCCAAAAGACATGAACTAAGCAACCAGCTTCTAAGTCTTTATCCATATGGAGCGCATGGGCAAGTTGATTAACTGTCTGCAAAGGAATGAACATGTTAGGAACATGGCATGATAACTTGAAGATACGTGTTCCTGATTGTTATCTGAAGCAGCAGCAAACTAAGTTTCTGGGATCTAATTTGTTGGTTACTAGAATTCCCGCCCCCCACAACCTGATGCAAAATATAGAATAAAAGCCAGTAGGATCCTTCAGTTAATACCACTGCTTCTTTCAAAAGAGCAAGGAGGGGAAGGGTCCCCCTTCCTTCTCATCCCTTTCTGTCTTCTAAATATGACTGGGGGCAGGACTTTAGGAACGCACAGGAAGCTGCATGGGAGGAAATATTGCTTCACACGTGGAAAATCAGCCAATATTTGGGGAAAGTCAAATTATGAGTGAGGATACAGAGATGAGCAAATAGATTCTGAACTCTCTCTGATAAGAGATTAGGCTTGCAATGCTCCAAGGCAAGCACAGGGGTTGGTGAAAAACCAAGCACGTGTGCTACCTGAAGCATTTTCCCAGGCACATTGGTAACAAATGATTTAATTCAAGTAGCCAAGCATATTGATTTATTTGATTTGAGGCACAAAGGGTAACAGAACACCAACTTCCAAATTATTCTTGCTATTGTACATAGTCCCATTTTTAAAAATAAAGTCATGCCTACTATGTAACTTCTGAGTCCTAGGACTTCCCTAAAAAGATTGCTTGCTTATTAAAGTAGTCTATATGCTATCTGGACAGTTCATATGAAACTTTGGAATCACCTTGGCCTGATAGAAACAGAATATAATTTTAATGCATACTATGCAATATGGAATTCTAACCTCTAATAGAAACTGGCTAAGTTCACTCAACAGACTAACCCATGATACGATTTGTTTAGTTTTGGCTTAGTGAGGTGTCTGATCCGAGTCAGTTGTGGCTTATTCATCAAAAAAACCATGGCTACAGTTTGCAAAAAGTTGTTCTACAAACTCTTTTATCTTCTGTCTATGGACCTTTCTCCAGTTCCACAATCACACATAAGGAGAATGATAATAAAGCCATACTAACTAGCTAATTAACTAACAAATGCTTGCACAGTTCTTGAATAACAGCATACATGTTTTTCTCTACATATTAAGCCTTGCTTCCCCAGATGCCTTAATTTTAGCATCATTTACATAAAATATTAAAATGTATATGCCAAACACTGTATTGCAAAACATCCTGAGACTGAAACAGCCCATCCTGAGGGTTCAATTGCTCTCTACACTATTATGTATTGCAGAGAATATAATTTTACAAATTTTGCACCAACTGCCTCTGATAGCCACTTTTTAAAAAATTCTCATTTTCTGTGATAGTGAGATACTAAGTCCTGCTTGTAAAAGAAAAAGTTCAGGTAAAAGAAAAAGGTACAGTGACCATTTGAAGTTACAGCAGCGCTGAACGAAGGGACTTAAGACCAGTCCCTGAAGTTACAGCCATTGCAGTGCCCCCATGGTCACGTGATCAAAATTTGGGCAGTTGGCAGGCTGCCCGCACTTACAACCACAGGGGTGCTTCAACTCCCCCCACCTACCTCTCTCCCCTCCCCATCTATGCCCTTTTGGCCTGCACTCTCTGGCTTTGCCGCCCTGCTGCCCCTGCCACCCCAGCTGTTCTTCACCAACTTCTTCCTGCCACTGCTAATGAGGGGCACCCGGCCTGGCCCTTTGCGAAGCAGCTGCTGACCATGCCAGGCCTTCTTCCTGAGGCTGTGCCTGCCCCTTGTCCAAATCATGCCTAGCCTTGTCTAAATTGCATGCAGCCTTCTTGCAAGGTTTTGGAAGGCAGGTGCATGAAAGAAAGCCCAGCTGTCTGGTGCAAAAAACCTAGCCAGGTCCTCCTTTCTTCCCACAAGGCTTTCTTCTCAAGGTCGAACATGGTGGTTTCCTTGTGAGACCTGGGGAAGATGGCTTCATGTGGCCAGCAGCTGCCTTGCAAAGAGCCAGGCAGGCATGCCTCAGCAGCAGCAGGAGCAGAAAGACAGTGAAGGTCAGTTAGGGTGGCAGAGTGCAGGGCAGCAGGGGCCTTGGTGTGCAGGGTAGTGAAGGTGACTGTGGCTGGACTAGGCTGGGGTGGCTGCGGCTTCCTGGGGGGGCTATGGCTTTGCACTGTGTGCTGGGGCAGTTGAGACTTTCAGGGGCAGCTGCAGCTTTGCGCTGCTCTGCAGCTCTCAGGCTTCTTCTGCCCCACAGCCGTGGCTCGCCAAGGAACTCCTGAGCCACAGTGTGGCAAGCAGCCCCACAGCCATATGGTTCTGGGGCTGCTTGCTGCCCCACAATGCAGGGTGCAGGGCGGCCAAAAGGGCAGAGATGTGGGGGGAGTTGAAAAGGAGTCAGTCTCTTACCCTACCAAGGCTCAGGGCTGGGAGGGACCAAGCCTGGAATGGCTTGGATTGGGGTGGGTCCTCGGCTAATGACCAGTGGAATTTGTTTAACGATGGCAACAGGGAGTGCTGGGATTACTGTCGCTGAGCAATGCAGTCATGTGACAACACACTTTACAACAGCATCGCTTAGCAACGGAAATTCTGGTCCCAATTACCGTCATACGTTGAGGGCTACCTATAAGCTGCCTTACAGGTATGACTAATGAGGTTTCTATCAAACATGGAGAGGAGCACTGAGATGACCTCGGAGAAGATATGTGACAACTGTTAGCAAAACATGAGCTCAGCCAGAAAAACAAGAAAGCGGGAAAAAGAAATTTAAAATTGCCCTGCCTTGACCCTTTTGGTATAAGAGGGATGGGAGAGGAAATGCTGTCAGGCTTTCAAGATATTTTTATCATAACCTATATCAATGAAGTAGAGTTCTCTTATTTCTTGTGGTGCCTGTTTCCTGACCTGGCTTATTTCAAAGGGCTACCAGCAAAACAGCCGTGAGAATGACTTACCTTAACACTCTTTTTTTCATCTGAGCCTTCAGTCATCAGGTAAGCTTTATCACCATCGGTTCCTTCTACACTGAGGAAGCAGTTAGTGGTGTGCCCAATGCCACTTGGCAGCACTTTGTCCCATAGCATGGCATTGATCACAGAACTCTTCCCACTGCTGGTTCTAGAGATGGAGCAGGAAGAGAAGGGAAATGTGAATTTTTAAACCTTGTAATGTAGCCAAGAATATAAATAGTCTGTGCAGGAAAAAATAAATCCAGAGACCAGGCCTAGGAAAGCCTAATTCTGAAGCAAATTGTGTACATTTGCTTGTTTTCTCTTATTTGGCAGTATCATTAAGTATATAACCAGAGAACAGACATATTTTCCCTACTGTCAGCCCTTTAAGGTCAGACTAGGAAACCAAAATCATCATGCATGCTAATCCTGCTCTTATTATGTGGTTACAGTAACAGAATTTTGCAAGTCTGCATGAGCTTCTCCCTCTCCTCCCCTGCATGAGAACTAGGGAGTGTCCTGCCTCAGACATTCCCAAATTACATTTCTGCCCCAGACTCAGATTTCTTTCATGTGACTGTTGCCTTGGTTGCAGCTCTTCCTCCTGTTCCTCAAGGTTATTCTTTCTTCCCATTATACCTACCTCCACCAATTTCTACTATTTTGATAATTTATTTTGGTTTGGATAATGATGGGGAGAGAAAAGTAGCAAGGAAAGGCACTGAAACCTTCTTTGCAATAATTGCTAATGTAAAAGATCTAAGCAGGCATTGCCCAGAAACTTTAAAACTTAGATAAACATATGTAAGAACTAGAAAGTTGCTTTCATTTTTAATGATAGCAAAGTCTCTGTGGAAACCCAACTGCACATGTTCCATTTTTTGGGAAACACATTACACCTTACAGAGGCAAGAGCATCTGTGGGAGTGGGCAGGTCAGAAAAGTCAAGATGGCAGCTGAGACTGAAGCCTCACCCCTTTTTCACTGGAAAAAGACCTGAAACTGACATCATCTGCTGAGAAATTATATTGTACAAGCATCAATAAAGTGAATGAGAATTGCTCAGGGAACAGCATTGGGGTAACTCTTAATTCTGAGCGTTAGCTTCCTCATGAAACATGATTTTAATGACTTCTCAGGTAATGTGTTTGAAATAATTTGAAATGTGCTATATAATAGCTAAGCAGTATGATCAGCATGGAGCAGCACAGACCAGTGTTTCTCAATTTCAGCAACTTTAAGATGTGTGGATTTCCAACTCCCAGCTCGCTGAGGAACTCTGAGGGTTGAAGTCTACACATCTTAAAGATGCTGAGATTGAGAAACACTGACCTAGATCTTGGCTGACCTTGAAAACTTACATAGGGTTGGAAGCTAATTAGTACTTGGATGGTAGGCTACCAGCAAATCCTTGATGGTTTACTTGTAAAGTAAACTGGGAAGTCAGAAAAAAAACATACTGGAAAAAGGCAATGGCAAAAACACTTTTGTATTGTTGCCAAGAAAACTGCATGGATGGACCCATGAAGTCATCAACAGTGGAGCTCAAAATGATAAGAGACATTAATTTTGCTGTCATCCTGGTCAAGAATTTTTGCTTTGTATGCATGTTGTTACTGCTATTTACTCACTTTATAGTGTGTTTTCCTACCCACCCAAGATGGCTAATTCACAGATGCCTGGCTAGGAATGATTCTTGATGGATTACTTCCCAAGAGAAGATCCTTATGTATTTATTCCAATGAACATCAACCCTTACCTGCCAAAAAATGCTACTTTCATATGCCGCCGTGCTAATACTTCCCCAATTATGGCCAGCTTGTTTTTATATGCCTCTATTTCTGTAAGTTCGTCCATGGTAGCTATACATTCAAGCTCTGAGTTTTTGTAGGTTTCTGCCATCAGAGGGAACAACAACACAGTGTTAAAACAGGCTACTGCAGAACAACAAGGCTTTTTCCATTTGATATGACACGTCAGTGTAACTTCAAGGGAAATCTTTTTGTAAGGAGTTGCCTTGTGCCAAGACTATGAGTTCTCAGAGGATGAAGGGTCAGGACCTGCCAGGTGGAAGGGAGTGGGGTGTTGCAGATTTTTCTAAACACAATCAGGCTTGCGCAGGCAAAGTGGGAACTTGTTCTGGCTTTTGTCTTCATTTTATCTCAGCTAGCTAAAGGACATAGCACATATACTATTTGATCACCAACTGTATAAAAAAGAGAGAGATCAATATCTTGGACTACTCATTAGATGAACGGCCTATTGGGATTCTTACATTAAAACAACATATTTCATGTGTGGTCAGAATCCAAAAATTACAAATAATGCAGCCCTTTATCTGAACAAAACAGTACAACTGATAACTGCATATGTGAATCTGGGCTAAATTATAGGGGTGACACAGAAATATGATTTGCATTTTGTTTTACTTATGTCTTTTATGCTATTTTCTAACAAATGGTCTTATTACTGTTCTGTATTTTATATTCTGATATGGCCTAATGGCTAATCAATAAATAATAATAACAACCTGAGATAGTCCATAGCGAGCAGCTGCTGCACTCCAAAATTTGAGAACTCCAGTGAAATACAACTTGCATTTAATTATTAAAGGTGCTGTATTTATTTTTTTACCCAACCCCAACACTAATAAAACTACTCATTTTGTTCATATAAGGTCAAACAAATTCAGTTTTTATTTTGGGGGTCATAGTACCACAAAGTTTGAGAATTATTGATCTAAATTATTGTGCAGCCGACTCTCAGGGTTCGCTAAAGGCAGCCTAGTGGCCTTTCACTGCAGAGGTTAGCAGATTAATTTTGGCCTGCTAAATCACAACTAATGATTCATGTGCTGCTGCGTCTTTCATCACAAAGAAAGGTATTGCCACTAAAATAGAAGCAGGCAAGGAACTTCTCCAAAGGGGTAAAACTGAATCTTTTTTTTTTTCCTCCAGTGGTGAAAAACATCAGAATTACATTTCAGTTATAATGTGTGTCAGACAGACAGACAGACATCTCCAATATTATTTATAAAGGCATGCCAAACGTTTTGATCTAGAAACATCCCATTCTGAGACTGGTACTGGAAGCAGTCTGAGCCTTTTCCAGCCTGACCAGAAGTATTCCAACCTCCAAATGAATTATAGGCACCTCCATTTTCCAGGTCAGAAACTTTTGAATTTTGAAATATTTTGTACACCCCTAATTATTCTGTATATTTGATAAGTAGCATATATCATCTACCAACTTTTAAGAAGCTCCTAATATTCTATCAGTAGCACTAATAATGTTCTCTGAGGAAGCACTATGTTTATCAAATGCTGTTTAGGGGCCTTAGAATATGAATCTGTTATCAAAGCCTCCCTCTGCCACTCAGCTTCATAACCTAAATCTATTTAACACTTCTGTGACATCAGAGCAGTTAACCAATCAAATGAAGCGGAGGGACTGTGTCATTCTCAAGCCCATTAGAACAACTCAGGAAATAATAGGCAGGCAAAGATCAAGGCACAGACATTATGAAGGGACAATCAACCTGGCATACTGATAGGCCCTTTTCCAGGGTTATAAAGTGTGACGAGCCCTCAATACAATATTTGTCTATTTCTTTCTTTATAGAGTAACCATAAAAAACAGAAACCCTGCCAGCAAATTATTGGCTGACCAAAATATATGGAATCCTGCATTCATTTTGTTACACTATATATAATAAAACACTCAAGAATTCTGCCTAATCATGGCTATGCGAAAGAAGGAACAATTGTCAAAAGAGCTATGCAATGCCTTCCAAAGAAGCACTTCACAAATATTCCGGAGTGTGAATGAAGCACCTCTCTTTCAGTCATTAAAGCTTTTGTGAGGTTCCTGCAGCTGCTCCAGCAGCCACTCTGTCCTGTCTTCACCTACATGGACCTGCGCAGCTGCCTCCCTTACTCTCCCCAAAATATGCATTCCCTGTTGCCCTCAACTTAAAACCAACCTTCAACAAAGTTTGCTCCTTCGGTAACATAATTCAGTAGTTCTTCAAAAATGGCAGTAATCTTCTTCTTAGCCAATACGAAGTGTTTGAGTGGGGAGGGATTAAAGTCCGCCATCATGCAACTGAAAAAGATGATACCAAAGTTTAGAATAATTGAATACTGACTTCTAATCCAACCCAGAAAATGTCTTCAGTAGCCATAAACAGAGTTTTAACTCCCATGATGACCTGGGAAAAAGCATGGCTGGGTTAATTACCTGTCTAAAAGGTGAAGGAATTCTAGAGGGACCCACAAATATATCCAAGATGCTTCTTCCAGCCCACAGTCACAAGAAAAATGGCAGGAGAGGGGACGGCTGAAACTGACATCATATTGGTGAACTCCATCGGTGTATTTCCCTTGATTGTGGGAAATGTACTGTATCTACAAAACTGTTTCTAAACTATTGAACTATTGAGTTCAGGTCCCAAGGTAATTTACAATGTGAGGGGGAGATTTTTCTTCCAAAAAATCTGGGTTACATGCAGGAATCTTGTTTTCATTTACTCCTTTTTTTATTATTGGGAAAGCCACATCAAAATGCATGCATACACCACTCACAATGAGCGGTTATATTCCTGAATTTTGACATTTTGAAGTTAGGTAGTGAATGCATCCAAGTTAAAAAAAAGTATAGCATTAATCACTTTTGCTATGTAATTTCTCCATAATTATTACCTCAGAATAAAAATCTATTTTGTGGCTAATTGCAGTAACTCAAGGTGGGTGGGTGAACTGATTAGATCAGTTCATAATTGTAAAATATATTAAAAGTATATTAAAATATGTTATTACATTTTATAAAATCAAAGGCATTCATTTCATCCAACATAAATTTCAGCTTTTAATCCAAGGCAGACATACTGTTAGAAAAACAAGCACGTATTAATCATATTTATTTTATTTCATAACCCAACTGCTAATTTTGTTCACATTAGCAATGCAGTTTTCCTTCTGTAAATATTGTCAAATATTTTTGGGGGAAATCAAAGTAGCTGAGGTTTGGAACCCTCTGTTAACACCACCTTTTTGCTTGAAACTTGCAAAATCTCATTTAAAACTGTCAAATGGAGGTTGAAATTGACTAGCTTTTCCAGTCCTGGAAGAAACCAGGAAAATACAGCAGCACAGAAAAGCTTTAGTGTCTCATTTTTACTGTGCCACACTGACCTAGATACTTGGAGCGTGTGCTCCCTGCCCACTGGCACTAACAGTTTGCTGCAATACATGGAATCTGCTTTTCCCAGAAATGGACTGTGTTGCAACAGTGGCTACCATATGTTATTTGCAAAAATATCAGTGTCCTTAAACCTATTCAATGCACAGATTAAGATGCCTCATTCAAGTAGATGAAACTTGCATTTCCATACAGCCCAAACTCAAAGAAAGGCGCTGTCAGAACCTGCATCAACCAACAATTGTTATTTTGCAAAGAATTGCCTTCAATGGGAGTTTGATTTGCTTCTGCCAATTGTTACTGGGGAGGGGGGCTAGTAGTTAAGAGTTGTAATAGGAGATGGTGAGGAGCTTAACCTTATATGGGCAGTGAAGCCAGGTCGGATTGCAGGCAAGGCCAGTGGGGGCTGATGGCCAGGAAGGAGTTATGTGTCCGTGGGAGGAAGGGAAGAGGTCACCACCAGGTGAAGAGGAATTGAGGCGCCAGGGCAATTAGGGGAGGGGAGATAAATAGAGGGAAATTTTTCAAGGCTTTAGTTTTAGCAATGTTTTGTTCAAAGCTACATCCACCACAGAATAAAGGAGCATTTTTCTGAACCAGGCCTGGTTGCATGAGAATTCTTTGGGAGTGGGTGTAGACACTGTGGACTTGACAGGCGCATACAATAGCAAAGAAAAGCCAATACATTTATCAGGGCAGAGGCTTTTAGGCATCAGAGGTCACGTCTCATATAGCATAGTAATTCCTAACACTAGTGTGCTGTGATATGTGCAAAGCACAAACCAAAATTAAATCCAATCAGAAAGAGTATGAAATCCAGTCAAATGATAAGAGAACTACTCCCAAGTGGACCCGACCACAAAAATTAACTTGCGCACACATACAGAGCAAATTACTTCGTGGAAGGTTCCTAAGAAGCCCATATCTATTTTTCTTACTGTTACATCTTTTTTATAGATTTAACACCTACCCTGGGGTTCTCCAAAGTGGCCAATATTGACCCCCAAGGGTCAATGGGACTATCCATTATTATTATTAGTAGTACATTAGTTAAAGTAGTATTTATTAAATTATTTTAATATAATAAATGTGTGGGGGTCGATGAGCAATCTAAAACTTCGTGAAGGGGTTGATGAGCTGAAGAGTTTGGGGACCCCTGATCTACCCCATCTTTCTATTCTACTGGACCAAGTAGGCAATGCCAGGGTTAGAAGCTAACAAAGTACTGAAATCTCCCTCTGAAAGTTTAAAAAGACGTGCCTGGTCTTCTCTCCCACCCAGAGGTTTCCATCTGCTGCTCCTTAAAGCAAGAGCAGGCTCTGGTCTTGTGGCCACCAGAGCACCCGGCTCCCCTCCCCAAGGTGCAGGGCCCAGGGGGATCCTCACAAAGCAGGTTTCAAGTCAGGGCCGGGGGTCCAGGCCCGGCTTTTGGAAAGAGGCCTCCGGGGGCAGCTTTAGGGGGCAGCTTTAGGGGCCCCCTTTTCTCAGAGATGCAAAATTCGGAACTGCCCGAAAAGAAACGTCCCAGACTGGACCCTCCAACACCCTCTGCCCCCTTTTTTTCCGACATGGCCCTCCCACGGCGGCCCCTGAACTCCCTTCGCTTCCCCCTTAACTTGATTAGATAAAAAAGAAATAAATAAGTGGCTGCGAGTGGCTCAGCATCTTAACATGGAGTTTCAGGGTTGGGGCCCCCCA